CCTGAGGGCACAAAGATCGCAGCCATCCAATATAGGTTTTTGGCCTTATCGCTTGCATACAGACATTTCTTCAGATTTTCTGAATCTTTTAATGATAGTATGTACCATAGATGATAAAACATTATTCTCGAAACTGTTGAGAAACATTGAGAAACATTTATAGATTCTTGAATTGTTGCACTGTTTTCTTGCGCAGTCTGGAATGGTGAACCCCTCCCCATCGTTAATTCTAAAAGACTAAGCCTCTCTGGGATGCTCTTTTTGTACTAAATCACTGACCTGTTGCCAGTTAACCTAATTAGTTGTGAGATGTTCCACCCATTTTTTTTTACTTTACACAACTTTACCAGTTTTTGTTGCTCCTGTCCCAACTTTTTTGAAATGTGTCACTGGCATCAAAACCAAAATGGGCACATATTTAAAAAAAAAAATAACAATGAAATTTCTCAGTTTCAACATTTGATATGTTGTTTGTGTACTATTATCAATGAAATGTAGGGTTTAAGTGATCTGCATATCATCGCATTCTGTTTTCACTTACATTCTGCACAGCGTCCCAACTTTTTTGGAAATGGGGTTGTAGACCTATTTCATGCTAAAATGGTTCTTTTGAGGGATTGAGAGAGAATGTGTTGTATATGCTTCTGTATAGAACCTTTTTGAACAAAAATGTTATATGGAATTCATGGTTCTAAATAGAACCATTCCCTTTATTCAAGAACCCTTGAAGAGACATCTCTTTTAAGTGTGTAGAGCCATTCAACAGAATGCAGCTTGCGCAGTGCCAACGCTTCCGCTACATTAGCCAACATGAAGCAAACTTCAACTATGCTGGCTGAGTAACTACATTTGCGGAGATTGAATGTTATTTTTCTCCAAACGACTCCTTAAAAGTCCACATATCAGCTTGTCTTGATCATATCACGCCATCAGCTGTATTTTAAATACTTCTTAGGTGGAGAATTCTGAACTGTGGTCTTTTAAGGAGTCACTTGGAGAAAAATGACATTCACATATTTTTCTCTTCACCACAAATGTAGTTATTTGGCCCGCATAGTTCAAATTTGGTTCTTTTGCTTAACTCTGGAGCTGCGATGCTAATGTAGCTAACAAGCAGTTTAAGTGTTAGCATTGTAACTGCATATAAATCACCACACATTTGTCTAAAACCATGCCAAGTTGTTTAAAAAATTGTAAATAGACTTGCTAATGTGGTTTCTGACACATTATCCATCACTTTATCTATAAAAAATAGACAGAAATGGAATATATTATACATAGTATGAGGCAAATGTGCCATAGCTCATTCATTAGCTACATTAGCCTTGTAGCACCAGTGCAAAACTAAAGAAGCAAACTTTTGACACCGTCTTGGCTTAAAATCTTATTTTTAGCCGAACTATTATATCCTTCCCTATTTGAAAACATTGGTTCTTAAACGTAAGAGTCTTCCTTGCTGGTCTAAGCTGGTTTAGACTGGTCAGGTGTTGGTTTAGCTGGTCACCTGGCATGGCCATGCTAGTTGACCTGCACACCAGCATCCAAAACACAACTAAAGCTGTGCTTTATGGTTCAAACCACCACATCACATTGCTGTAACTCATATTAGAGCCCCAGGAATTACATATTGCTGAGAAAAGTTGAAACGAGAACAGTTATCAACTATCTGTCTGTCTCGTTCTGTTCAGACTATGAGCCCTTCCTTATCAGACATGGTGAAACAGGGAAGGGATTGTTTTGTCTCACCGCAAATTTCATAAGTACATTACGCAATAACAGACGCGGCAGAAACGTTATTTGTGCAGGAGAAAAAAGTTCTGGTTGTTTCCTGGAGATCAATATTTATGGCGCTGACTTTAGCACCTTTAGAACCTTTATGAGGTTTAATTATTACATAGTGACAGTATTCCTCTAATGTCAAAGGCTGACTAGAGTCATATGCAGAAGTTTGAATACACCTGGTCAATTTACATTTTGTTGATTTTCTAAGTGAACATAAGTTAAAGGGGAAGTCCACCCATTTTTCAAAATGTCTGCATTATCATATGCTTAAGATGTAAACAGAGTCAGAGTGGTTTGGTGTGAAACGCTCAGTTCTAGAGAAACGTACTGAGAATTGTTCACAGTGGTGGTCATAGGAACCAGACGTCCACCTCTAAAAGCCCCACACAGAAAGTTACTACATGAAAAGGTTATGAATTCACTGTCTGATAACTGAGACACTGTGTTATGATATTTTTGGCCTTAAAATGTGCTTTTACTATATTCATGGCAGAAAGGTATATGCAGGGTGTTGTGGGGCAAAATAGTCCCCAAACGAAACGTATTATTTTCAGATTTATGACTATTTTCCATCATCAACATCCATATATAAACTCAGAAGACTCGTGTAGGTTCACTGGTGGTTTTGGATAGTAAATAAAATGTCTATATTTGTGTTATAGTCATGGCGACCCCTGGTTCCCATCACCACCACTGTAAAGACATCTGAGTGTCTACAATGAACCATTTCACATCAAACCACTCTGAATGACTCTGCTTACATCTCATTTATGCCGAAATGTTCAAACAAATGGGCAGAATTCAACACTTCCTCTACAGAATTACAGAAATTAACATATTGGGAAAAGTTTCCAAGATGTTAAATTCAGCATGTAAACAGTAATTGTGTATTAAAATGTGTAGAAGTGTGCTCTCTGTAAAGGATGTGTTGTATATGTAGAGGAACTTTGTATATGACTGTATGTAATGGAAGTGCTGGTAGGATCTGTTTTAGGGTTGGGGGAATTAGTGTGTGTTACCGGGTGTGGACAGGAGGGGACGCTCTTACACTTAAATATAACTGCAGACTGGTGTTTCCAGCAGACATTGAAAACAAAGACAAAAGCTTGGATATTTTTGTATTGGCTAAACTTGTGGTGTTTTTAATTAAGTACAGTGATTTTGCAGGTCATTATTTCTGAGTGATTCTATGAGTTGGTTGCAATTTTGTACTTAAAAATACACATTTTTTTACATTTATTCGAAGAAAACATGAATTTAACCAACTCAGGAAAAATTGCCTCAGGAACATCTCATTCCTTTCCTGTGCGCTCTTTCCTAACAGACAGGGGAACTCCACCAATTTTTCAAATTTTTTCGAAGAATTCTGTTGTTGAGATAAAAACAGAGTGATTCAGAGTGGTTTGGTGTGAAATGGTTTAGATTTCTTTACAGTGGTGGTGATAGGAACCAGTGGTCGCCATGACGACAACACAAATATAGACATTTTAGTACAGTTTTATGTGGAATGTTGATGATGGTGAAATAATAATTTCATAAATCTGAAAAAAGTTTTCCTTGGGGACTATTTTGCCTCACAACACTCTGCATGTATCACTCCATGTTGAATGCATTCAAAGCTATCATGAAACAATGTGTCAGACATCAGGGAGTGCATTCACAACCATTTCACGTGAGAGAGCTTTTAGAGGTGGACGTCTGGTTCCTATCACCACCACTGTGAACAATTCTGACTCGGTCAGTTTCTCTGGAACAGAGCGTTTCACACCAAACCACTCTGAATGACTCTCTTTACATCTTAATCATTTAATTATGCAGAAATTCAGAAAAATTGGTGGAGTTCCCCTTTAAACAAGTAGCAAGGTTGACTTTTTTAAGCATACAGTCAGCAAATGTGCAAAATGTGGTTAATAGCATCCATGTTAATAGTCATGAGGGCATAAAAGACACTCTTATGATTTACTTAAAATGTATTTCTAATTAGTTAATGATTTGCAGTCTATAAATAAGGAAACAGGGTGGTTCTTTCAAAGTGACCTCATCAGTCAACATCACAACACTGATAAAGGGAACTTTTCTTCTTCCCATGATCTTCAGGAAATTCAGATCTTGAACATGTGACTTGTTCAGGTGACAGAGCTGAGTGAATGTTGAGGGACACAAACAAAAGGTAGGCCTATTGAAGCCTGTTCTAGTTGTTAAGGCACTTTTTGCGATAAATTCAATTTTATTGGCATTTTTGCTTGCATGTAACTGTTTTTGTATTGTAATAGTTTGTTATAATTTCATATCACATGTATAACGGTTCTTTAATATCACATGCAATGTTAATTTGATCATTTTTTTTACTAATTAGTTTGAAAAATTGCTTCTAAGCAGCTTTTGTTAACCAAACTAGACTCTCAAAGAATCTGCAGACACTCCTCCAAAGTTCAGTCTTAGAAGCTGGTTGATCATTTTCTGAAGTACTCAAACACATTCAGTGGTGTTGAGGTCTGGACTCTGGGGTGGTCAGTCCATTGTTCAGCTTCTTTGTTTGATGTGTCCGTCTCCTTTTCTCAGTGAGGTTCTTCTTGATCAGCTACACATCCTTTCAGACCCACAGCACTGAGTCGTCTTCTCACAGTGGAAGGATGGACAGAAACACCTGTGGGTGTTTTCAGATCTGAAGCAGCTTGATTTTCTCCTCTCTCTCAGAGATGAAAGCTTTAAGTGCTGTTTATCTGATGGGGGCAGTGTTGGTGTCGACCAGGTCTTCCAGATGGTTGTTAGGAAGCACATTTTCTTTGTGGCTTTTAATCAGTTTTTTTAACAAACAATGTTCTACTTCCTAACAGAAGTGGATTACTTTATATCTGATCTCCTCAGAAATATCCTCTGAAACATGAATAGCTTGTACTTAAAGGCTGTTTTGACTGGAAATTAAAGAAATAAAGGGTGGTCTCTGTATACATTTTGATATCTCCACACTAAGGCACGTCATATACTGTAAACTTTCCCTATAATAAAAGTTTGGTAGTTAAACTTACCACAGAACAGTTTCATGTATCTGGCATCTATAATCCAAAAGTTATGAATTTTTAAATTCTGCACTTTTTTCCATTGCATGCATTGTAAGGCACAAATTAAAAGCCATGGTCACTTATTAATGTCTCTATATCTCAGAAACGGATAAAGATACAAGCCTAAGATTTGAGATTTGGTGGTCTCTGTATACGTTTATTTTGTCTTGGAGCAACTTTTGATATCTTCACACTGATGCACATCGAATCTAAAATTAATATCCTATAACCGTGTGGAGTTGATCAGTAATATGGAACAGACTTGCTTATGACTCTCTATGACACACTGTCATCTACAAACATGGACTAAAGTACGTCACCTAGCTAAAACAATAGCTTAGGCAATCTTAAAGCCTGAATTTGTACATTTTAAAAGATAATAGTATGAAATTCAGCACATTTTAATGAACAAGTACTGTTCAAACATAGAGTTCAAACTTCTGTCTGCTGTCTTTAAATTTGACGCTTGCCAGTGTATTAAGTTTCTACTATGACTGACACAAAGCAGAGATGACAAAGGCTCCACTCTGTAAGCCTACAGTCGTCACGTGAGCTCTGGGCAGCTTTCCTCTGCTCTTTATAGCAGCGCCTGACCTACAAACCACCATCCACTGCTCTGAAATAGAGAGAGAGAGGGAGAGAGAGAGAGAGAGAGAGAGAGAGAGAGAAATACAGAGAGAGAGAGAGGGAGAGTGATTCAGCAGATTGTGAGTGACACAGTTTGAGTGCTCTCATGACCTTTAACATAACACTGCTGGACATTCTGACAAGTCTGTGCTGCTGAAGTTCACACTTGAAAAAGATGGTACTTCAACGGTTCTTTAGTAAAGTGAATTGTTCAACATAGAACCATTCATTCATTTTCCACATTCTTAAAAAAGGAGGTTCTTCAAAGGTTCTTTAGTAAAGAGAATTGTTCCACATAGAACCATCAGTTCTATATAGAACCATACATTCATTTTCCACACTCTTAAAAAAGATGGAACTTCAAAGGTTCTTTTGTAAAGAGAATTGTTCAACATAGAACCATGAGTTCTACATAGAACCATTCATTCATTTTCCACACTCTTACAAATGATGGTTCTTCAACGGTTCTTTAATAAAGAGAATTGTTCAACATAGAACCATAAGTTCTATATAGGACCATTCATTCTTTTTCACACTCTTAAAAAAAGAGGTTCTTCAAGAGGGGTGGTGCTGGATATAGAACCTTTTTGAAAATGGCTCTTTGTAGCACCAAAATATTTCTATTAGAACAAGCTTGACATCTTAACAGTAGAAGAACCCTTTTTGGTGCTACATAGATCCATATACAAAAAACACTCAAGCATGAAATGGTTCTATAGAGACCTCATGGTTCTAAACAGAACTATTGCATTTACTGTTTTAAGATTGAACTCTGTAGTAAATATTCTGCAGTTTTACCTGTTTTATCCATGACGTCTGTGTCGAATTCACTTCTGCTGCTTTTCCAAGCTGATTTTTAGGCTGAAAAGGCACTTTTTGATCTGCCATTCAAACAGCAACACCTGTGCCCACCAGACCAGACCGGCTCCAGTCTTGCGGACCCTCTCTTCTGTACAGGTTCAATTTCATTTCAGGTATTTTGCGAAGAACAAGAAGATATTCATTTGTTTATAACTTCATTCAGGATATATTAATTTTATTAGAACTTCATTCTGAATATTCATTTCATTAGAATTTCATTTTGGATATTAACTTGATTATAATTACAGTTTTATGTTAATTTTATTACAATTCCATTTTGGATACTGATTTTATTTTATTTTATACAACTTTATTCTTGATATTAATTTGATAGTAACATCATTCTATGTGTTAATTTTATTATAACTTAATTTTATGTTAGCTTTATAATAATTTCATTCTTGATATTAATTTGATAACTTCATTCTAGATTATGGTTTTATTAGAATTTCATTTTGTGTTTTAATCCCATTAGAATTTCATTTTGGACATCATTTTTTAGAAATTTATTCCAGATGTTACATTTATTAGAACTTCATTCTTAAAATTAATTTCATTATGATTTCATTTTAATGTTAGTTTTATTAGAAATTTAATTTTTATGCTATATTGATTAGAACTTCATTCTGGTTGTTATTTTTTTAGAATTTCATTCTAGATGTTAAATTTATTATAACTTTATTCTGGAAATTAATTTTATTATGATTTCATTCTAGATGTTAATTTTATTATATTTTATTTTTTTTGTGTTAATTTTGTTAGAACATACTTTTTATTTTCATTTATCAGAACTTCATTCTGAATATTATCTCTTTTGAAATTCATTCCAGATGTTACATATATCATAACTTAATTCTGGATATACATTTTTCATCATGGATTTTATGAGAACTTCTGAGTGTTTTGCAGTTTTTCAGTTATTTTAGAAATTTTAGAATCTTCTACAGCTCTACTAATCACACTACGTCAACACACCTAATATTACTTAGCTTTTACAGTTTCCTAGTAATTATTTGAAGGCTGTGAAGTTGTAGAGTAGTGGAATCATACTGGAATAATTTTATGCATGTATCTGTGATCATCTTTTGATTTGAAAATCAAATGGACATAAACTCTATTACGCCCTGTGGGGAGATTCCTGCTATCAGGAGTTTATTTCTGAGTCACCCACATGTTACAGCCCTCGCTCCTTTTTTAGAGTGTCCCATGTGAAGGACAGCTGCGGCTACAGGCCTATAACCATGGGGAGAGGGAGAGGAGAGAGAGAGAGAGAGAGAGAGGAATTAGGAAGAGCGGGAAAGTTAGAGGGAGAGAGATGTTTTATTAATAGGCACTGAAGTGCTGATGATTCTCCATTAAGGGCAGCTGTAGCAGTATGTGTGTGTGTGTGTGTGTGTGTGTGTGTGTGTGTGTGTGTGTGTGCATGTGTGTGTGTGCATGTGATTTGAGCATGTGGAGGATGTCATCTGGGTCAGTCTCAAATCTTAGGCTTGTGTCTTTATGCTTTCCTGAGATATCGAGACTTTAATAAGTGACCACGGCTGTTCATTTTAGCCTTACAATCAGTGCAATAGAAAAAACGCAGAATTTAAAAATTCATAACTTTTGGATTATAGATGCCAGAGAGATAAAATTGTCTTATGGTATGTTTGACTACCAAACCATTTATTATAGGAAAATTCAAAGTACATGACGTGCCTCAGTGTGGAGATATCAAAACTTGCTTCAAGAAAAAAAAAAAACATTTTTTTTTGGAACAACTTTAGCTCTCAATATCTCCACACTGAGACACGTCATATATTTTGAACTTTCCTATCTATTGCTGTGACTATGGCTTTGAATTTTCACCTTACAATGAGTGCAATGAAAAAATGTCCTATCTTTTGCTCATATTTCACTGCACAACTGAATATGTGTCTTACAGTTAAAAACAACTTTCTGATTAATGACCAATTTTAAAAAGTGAGGAAATAAATTATGTTGTGGAATCTGAGGATTATACAACATAATTTATACCACTGAAAGGAGCTCATTTCAGTTAACAAATGCACCAAATATCAAATACTAGTGTCAAATGCATCTCATTTTACAAAAGACAGAATCAAATTCTGCACTATATATATATATATATATGTCATTTTGAGGCAAAAATTAAGCCCATGCCCCTTTTTTCAAAGTCTTCATATCTTAGAAACTGATAAGGATACAAGCCTCAGATTATGTGCAGTATCTACTGAACAAAATGATAACATATCCTGAGAGCGTGAAGCAAATCTGAGAAAGTCAGGGCCTTTGGCTGAAATCTGGTGATTGATTTACCTGTTTGGTTTGGTAATACAGCAGTACAGTCGGGATCTCTGGCTGTCAGGCAGAACAGAACTGCATGACATACCGTATTAGTGCTATGAAATGCTGCAACCACACTAGACTGGAATCCTATCAGATCTGTTCAGCTGAATCTCGAAACCATCATAAAACAATGGCAGTGTATTCATAACTATTTCATGTAGTATCTTTCTGTGAGGGAGCTTTTAGAGGTGGACGTCTGGTTCCTGTCACCACCACTGTGAACAACTCTGACTCGGTAGGTTTCTCTAAAATGGAGCGTTTCACACCAAACCACTCTGAATGACCGAATGAAAAATCAGCGGAGCTCCTCTTTAATACAGCATATGGCCTTAGGCTTCCATGCGTGCTGCGGCTAGGACGGAAGCCTAAGGTCAAAGGTCATGAAAGTGCATGCCAAACAGCTCAGGTTCAAGTTGAAAGTCATGCGTATCATAAAAGAAGTCAAAGGTCACGCTTGTGCTACACAGAAGTCTAAAATTACATTGTGTCCTCATGTGACACCTGGACGGACATGCACACAGCCTTAATCCCCCTGACTATGAAAATGGCACGGAGAGCTGGTGCTAAATCCTGTGTGTTTACACTACCGAGAACAGTGGTAAGCACACATACTCTGACTAGCCAATTCATTAAGTACACACGCCTTTGTTTCAACGCTCATTGTCCATTTTATCAGCTCCACTGACCAGGTAGGAGCACTTTGCAGTTCTACAGTTACAGACTGTAGTCCATCTGTTTCTCTGAATACTTTGTTACCCTGTTCTTCAGTGGTCAGGACCCCCATTGACCCTCACAGAGCAGGTACTATTTGGGTGATGGATCATTCTCAGCACTGCAGTAACACTGACGTGGTGGTGGTGTGCTAGTGTGTGTTGTGCTGGTCTGAGTGGATCAGACACAGCAGTGCTGCTGGAGTTTTTAAACACTGTGTCCACTCACTGTCCACTCTATTAGACACTCCTACCTTGTCAGTCCACCTTGTAGATGTGAAGTCAGAGACGATAGCTCATCTGCTGCTGCACAGTTTGTGTTGGTCATCCTCTAGTCCTTCATCAGTGGTCACAGGACGCTGCCCTCAGGACGCTGTTGGCTGGATATTTTTGGTTGGTGGACTATTCTCAGTCCAGCAGAGACACTGAGGTGTTTAAAAACTCCAGCAGCACTGCTGTGTCTGATGCACTCAGACCAGTGCAACATCTCACAAATAGGATATTTCCAGCATGACTGGAAGGCAGCATTAGATACAGGCCCTTTAAGGTGTAGCACTAGAAACACTACATCCAAGCTAATAAACCTATAAGTGAACATCAGTCTAAAACTAGCATTCCAGCACTGATATCTTCTCCAGACATGGTTTAGAACTCTTAAACTTCATTTAACGGAGCATTTTAGCCTAAAACTAAAGTCTAATATGTTTTTGGTCATGTTGTGCAATATTATGTAGTGCCGCACTGTAAGTGCTACACACATAGATATACAGACCTAGATGCCACGTTGGGTCCAGCCAGGCACGACAAAGGCGCCGCCATTTTGGGGCGGTCAACATCTCTGCTGGACTGTGTTCAGTACCATTACAGAGCGGCAGTTTGAGAAAGATACTGTCCAAAATGACACTATTTGAGGAGTATTGCTCTCAGAAAGTGGGATAGGATTATATAACAGAGGGAACGCAGTGATCCATGCTCATGTTTGTGTGATGTTTATGTAGATATGGCCGTGTGGTTGGTGAGGCTCAGAGAACCTGTTGATGTGATTGTTTTTCCTCTGGTTTTATATTAAGCTTATTTAATTTAATAGTCTATTCAGAGGATCTTAACTTTATGTAGTAGTTATTTATTTACAGTGATGGTTAAAGCTTTGTAGCTGGGTAAGTTATAGCATTCCTTAATCCGTGTAGATAATAGATTAACGTTAGCACCTTCTTACACCAACCTGAATTTAGCTTCTTATTCGCCAGCTTCTTGTTCCTATTTTCCCGTTCCACCTTAAATGGTGCTTCAGCCAGCTTCTTGTTCCAATTTTCCTGTTCCACCTTAAATGGTGCTTCAGCCAGCTTCTTGTTCCTCTTTTCCTGTTCCACCTTAAATGGTGCATCAGCCAGCATCTTGTTTGAATTTTCCCGTTCCACCTTAAAGAAGAACAAGAACAAGAAGCTGGCGAATAGGAAGCGACTTCAGCTTCGTCCTTCTTACTGTGTTTTGGGGGTTTATTTTATGTTTATGTGTATGAAGATTAGAAGTGATTCACACACTGATGGATTTGCTGTTGTGTGAGTTTGTGTTTTTACTTTTTTAATGTCAGGTGCAGACTGAATACTTTCCTGCTGGTCTGGACGGCTAATGATCACGATCAGTTATTAAATAATAACTGTAATAAAACTGTAATAAAAAAATTTTAGTAATAAAAGCTACCGAGAGCCGTTAATGCAGCCTGGATTAATCTGTGTCTGAGGATTATAACTAAACAAATGTGGTAAAAATCGGTTGAGTAATGAGGAAGTTGAGGCCGATTTAATCCTGAGACTCATCGTCTCTCAATACAAGTGAATAAAAAAATTCAATAAATAAAAATAGCCCGCAAAAATCAACCCCAAAGCAGTTGTAGTTCTTTAAAAGTCCCCCTCCCATCATCAGAAAGTCTGTAAAACGCAAATGCGTGTTGTTTATCAACTTTTGCTATTTTTACCTCACTATGTTTGGAGGCATACGGCGAATTCACATTGGACTGACCCATTTTCTGACTTCATTCTAGGAAAGCAGTTGCTGTTGCTCAACTGGATAAATCCAGTGTGTAAAAGCTGGACTGTTTGAACTTAAGCAACACTGGGACACCCTGTCCTTAGTCATCATCTCGTTGCTGAGTTCTACAGGGGTCAGTTAAGCCATGTGAGTCCATATTTATTCATCTACCGTTGTTTTAAGGAGTGCCCTTTTACAGTAACCTTATACAGTTACTGTTTTTTTACTTGGATTTTCATTATGTTAAAGGGGAACTCCACTGATTTTTCAAAAATTTCACATAATTAAATGGTTAAGATGCAAACAGAGTCATTCAGAGTGGTTTGATGTGAAACGCTCTGTTCTAATGAAACTTGCTGAGTCAGAATTGTTCAAAGTGGTGGTGATAGGAACCAGACGTCCACCTCTAAAAGCTCCCTCACAGAACGTTATTATATGGAATGGTTATGAATTCACTGCTTAATGACTGACACATTGTTTAACGATAGTTTTGTGATAAAGCTTTGGCTTAAAATGTATTTAAATCCATTTATTTGAATGCATTCATGATTAAGGGGTACATGCAGGGCAATGTAAGGCAAAATAGTCCCCAAAGAAAACTTGTTTTTTCAAGTTTGTTAACGTTTTGCCATCATTAACATTACATATAAAAACTTAGAAGACTTGCGTAGGTTCACTGGTGGTTTTACATCGTAAATAAAATGGCTATATTTGGATATATGTATATTTAATGGGGACCCCTGGTTCCTATCACCACCACTGTGAGGAAATCTGAGTCTCTACAATCAACCATTTCACACCAACCCACTCTGAATGACTGTTTACACTGAATTATTCAGCAGTTTTGAGAAATATGTGGAAATCCCCTTTAAGAATGATGTCTTAAAGCAACAAAACCAGATCTTTAGCAAGACCAAGGCTAAACACTGCTCACTCGGTGAAGCCGAGCATTCTGGCATTGTGTGAAAGTGTGAACCACAGAGGGCACGTCCACACAGAGTGTTTAATGTCATCCGCCCACCCCATAACTGTCCTCTTGCAGGATAACAAGGCTATTCAGATTAACCCTTCTTGAACCTGTCTGGCGTCTGCAGTCTAATCTAGGCTTCTGCTTCATCACTGTGTAGCTACTGGACCTCCATTTGCTCTCTTTGTGGTGGATGATGTAATGACATAATGACACAGCATGGTGTTTCTGAGCCACATTCTGGTCAGTTGTGCCACTTTTTAAGACATAATTAAGGGATTTTAGGTTTCTTCTGATTTCTTAACATATTTAGGGCTGCTACAGGGTTATCGACAGCCTCTGTGTCTCTTTCTTCCGTGTCTCTTTCTCGCTCTCTTCCCCCCATTCCCCAACCTTAAGTTGCTCACTCTTGCTGCAGGCCAAATTAATCATTTACAGAGCCTGGCAGAACTGCTTGTGTTTCTTCCTCTTACAACAGCCACCCCATCTCTCGTTCACGTGTACAAGCAAGAGCAAACTCACATCCGGGATAATCATTTCTCAGTTCTCAAGGGTGGCAGGTTCTTTTAGCGTTGTTGTTCCCAATTTATGGAACTTACACATTATTTTCTCTCTTCATATATACTATATGGCCAAAGATGTGTGGACACACCTCATTGCTAACAGGGGTATAAAAACAAGCACACAGCCATGCTGTCTTCGTAGACAAGCATTGGCAGTAGAATGGGTCGTACTGCAGAGCGCAGCGACTTTCTCATAGAGCCATCTTAGCCACAAGAAAGTTTATTAAATTTCTGCCCTGCTAGATCCGCCCCAGTCAACTGTAAGTGTGATTATTGTAATGGAAGTGTCTAGGAGCAACAACAGCTCAGCCCTGAAGCAGTGGACCCATGAAAATTGATGATCGCCTATCCACTGTTGCATCACACACTACAGAGCTCTAAACTGCCTCTGGAAACAACATCAGCATAAGAGCTGCATCAGAAGCTTCATAAAAATAGGTCTCCATGGCTGAGCAGCTGCACACACGCTTAAGATCACTATGTGCAATGCCAAGTGTCGGCTGGAGTGGTGTAAGGAACGCCGCCACTGGACTCTGGAGCAGTGGAAACATGTTCTCTGGAGTGATGAATCACGTTTCACTATCTGGCAGTCTGATGGACAAATCTGGGATTGATGGATGCCAGGAGAACGTTACCTTAGTGGCGTTGTACAAATACCCTCCGTAAATTACATAAAACATGGAGAGGCCTCTTTCAGTTATTATGCTTCTAAACTGTGGAACTCAATTCCACCTTTTATTAGACAGTCAAGCTCAGTGCTCACTTTTAAGAAGCATATAAAAAAACATCTCTTTAACTCAGCATTTAATTAAAACTTCACGTCTTGTGGTGTTTATCTTCTCATTTGATCTGTTTCATTTTCTTCTGATTCTAAATAAATACTAATGATTTCCTGTATAACTGTTTTATCACCTGTTTGTAAAGCACTTTGAGCTGCCACTGGCATGAAAAGTGCTATATAAATAAAATTATTATTATTATTATTACCTACTGGAACGCATAGTGCCAACAGTAAAGTTTGGTGGAGGAGGGATAATGGGCTGGGGCTGTTTTTCAGGTAGTTCCAGTGGTGGATAATGTTAATACTACAGCAAACAAAGATATTTAGACAATTATATGCCATCAATTTTGTGTCAGCAGTTTGGGGAAGGCCCTTTTCCAGCATGACTGAGCCCCTGTGCACAAAGCAGCTCCATTAACACATGCTTTGACATGGCCTGCACAAAGCCATATAAGAAAATGATTTTCCACCACCTGAGCCGTGAGAAATCCTGGAAATACATCTGCCTCAGCTGAGTGACGCATTCTGAAAGGGCTATAACGCTTCAACAGATCAGTAAGATATGCTGGAGCTCGGACATGAAGAGCTTTAAATTTCTTAAGCAGGAACTTGTAGTCAATGTGGAATTTAACAGAAAACTGTTATAAACAGAATAAGAAGGGAAAAATGTGTTCAAGCTTTCTTTTCCTGGTGAGCAAACGGCCTGCTGCGATCTAGTACAGTACTCTAATTTAGCCGTTATAAAAGCATAATAGCTCATTTCTCAGCATCTTGTAGGGCTAACATGTGTCTTATTTTGGATATGTTTCTCAGGTACTAAAATACAGTACTAGAAATACTATTGATATGATACTCAAATGGGTCATCTCATCATCAGCACATGTTTATGTCCCTATAATGACAATGTAACTCAATGCAGAAGCTCTTTTAGTATGAAATATTTCATCTTCTTAGTCACGTCCCAAACTAAAGCAGCGTCAAGTTTGGAGGTTGAAACAACATTCATAACCATCTTTCAGCCCCAGGAGTAAAGCCAGCGAAGTACTGCTAGTAATCAGGGCATGCCTAATGATTTAATTTGCATTAGGACAGCTGACGGGGAGCTTGTTATCATGTCTGATGTTATGGCTTTATTGCAAAACTAAAAAAAATCATAAAAATCTATAAAAATAGTGTTAATGTTGTTGCATCCAAAACATAACTGTGGAGTGCGTACATGAATCAGCTCAGTCATGTTTGTCTTAAAAATTCACTTTATTAGTTTCACTGGCTATCACTAAAACTACAGAGAATCTGAAATATGAACTCAAACTGTGACAAACACCAACACACACTGAACATAAAAATGAGCAGACATATTTACAGTAAAAATAATACCAACAGCAGCACATCAGAGTCTTTATAAGGCAAATTTGTGGTGATAAATGCATTTTTCTTATTGACGTTAATTAAAGCCTTTAAAGAATGTGGACAACGTTTCATACAGATTCAGAAAAAAGAATCACGTTGTTTTATCCATATTGCACAGATTGTGTTTTTATTTACAACAGTTCAAAACATATTTCATTTAGGGAGATTTCAGGTGTCAATGCCAGCCAACTGAACAAAAGGTAAGTACATTCCAACTGGACAATCTTCGCTTTTTAGCTTAAACACTCCGGCCTAAATGAAAAACCGTAACCATCCCTACATCTGTAAACATGCTTGGTAGTCTCTACAGTGAGATTTTGTGGTTTAAAGACTAGAAAAATCCCATCTGAGCTTCAACTGCAACTGCTTTGGGGTTGATTTTTTGTGGGTAGACTGTTTAAAACTGCATTTTTTCCCTTGCTAGCTGGTGAACAAGTCATCAGATAGCTAACCTTACCGCTAGGAAGATGTATTCAGCTTCAAATCATCGTCAAATCATCATTTCATTGGGGAAAACGGATTACTCAAACAACAGAAATAAAATGACTCATCAGATGAGGAGGACTAGTTAAAAGCTTAAGCAAAAGTTAAAGCACCCTGCTAGAAAAAACATAGACCACGGGCCTGGCCACCAGCAAATGTTGTATTTTGAATGCTGGTATGCTGGTCAACCAGCAAGATCATGCTAGATGACCAGCTAAACCAGCTCTAGACCAGTTTAGACCAGCATGTTGCTGCTGGTCTGTGCTGCTATTTTTCAGTTGGATAAGCTAATCCAGCTACCTCAGTTTACCTTCCTTTTTCTTTAAAAAATGATCTGGAACCATTTTTGTGGTAAATAAAGACAGAGTAGTGATTTTCTTTACTATTTTGTATTAAAATGAAGGTAACATTTACACTACGTGATCAGTGGCTAAAGCTAAAATAAGCTAATCTAGACCCCTTCGGTTTGGCTTCTTTTCTGGGGCTAAAAGGTTAAAAAATTGGTCCTTGGTGTCCTTTTGTGCTAAATAAAGATAGAATTGTGGTTTTCTTTAAAATTTTGTTTGATGACTGAGGTACAACTTACACTGATGTTAGCTTGGTTCAGAGGCCAAAGCTAAAGTAAGCTATACACATACTTTGCCTCAGTTTAGCTTTTTTTCTTCTTTTTACCCTTTTGACTGAAAGGGTAAAAGACTTGGTATCCTTTTTGTGCTAAATAAAGACAGAACGGTGGTTTTCTTCAGGATTTTGTTTGAAAACTGAGGTAAGATTTTTACGCTAATGCTAGCTTGGTTTAGTGGTCAATGGCTAAGCTAGCAAGAAGGATTGATTGACACCACAGGCATTGAGATGCTAAAGGAAAGCATGAAAATCGAGTCAAACCAATGAGGCTGAGGGATATAAAGCTAAGCTTCAGAATACAACATATGACAAATAACCATCAACTTTTTAAACTGTAGTTTTAGGCCGGAGTGCCCTTTTAAGTTATCCAGCTAAACTCACGGGCTGGGATGTGGGCTAAGGTGGGATAAACTGGGTTTCGGATCATCAGCTCATCGGAGCGTGCTGCCAAGCTCTCAGGAAGCTGTGGGAAAAAGGGATTTTGGCTGTAAGAGTGGCTCACTGCTGTGCTCCGAAAGCAGGCCGATAACTCAACGGCCCACTGCGCTGGCACCGAAAGAGCTACTTTCCCTGATTACATAAACACCAACACCGACATGCAAATCCGATTCATTCACAATGTCACAACACGAGGAAAAGCTTCAGCGCTGATGCCGAGCAGTTTCGAGTTTTGTGCAAATACAGTTTAGCGCGGTTAATAGCCACGGATGCTGCTTTATTAGAGATAAGATACAGCTCTTATTAGCTTATATACAAAATATTCTGATATATACATAAACATCTATTTGGAAAAACGATACCGGATAACTACAATTACACTTAAGTCACTGGGAAAATAAACCATATCTCTGAGTAGGGTGGGACAAGCCATTAGTTATTTACATATAGTTATTGCTGGTCAAAGAGCCAAAGTTTTAATCAGGACAGACGCTTTCAACACATTTAGATATAAACTGACACACAAGCAAATCACTGATTGAAGTGAAAATGTGCATATTTGTAAATATATTGGGTTATTGCTACATTAACAGTACCACAGCCTCATGCTTCATTTGGATAGCTTGTTAATATTCAATAATTAGGCTAACATCTGTTCAAAATAATGCACCCGCGATTGTGATTATTATTGTTATTGCTGTAAGGTATCAGTTACTGTCATTTTCCACTTCACATGTAACCCCAACACTTATCAAGGCGAATCTCCTCCTCTTGTCCCGTCACCAGAAGGTGGCGGTTTCCACACTCCTCCCAGCGCCTGATCTTTCCATCCTCCACCAGGACAAACTTCCACTCCACCTGCTTCTCCGTAGGAAGGGTGATGGTGTTGGCCCAGAACCAGTCTTCAACCCGCTGAAGCGGAACAAAACTCTCCCAGGTGCCCAACTCCTGCTGGCTCCCCGTCACGGCAAGCAGCTGGCTCGGGGAGTGTGTGATGTAGTGCACCCTGAAGCTCACCCGCACCATCTGAGGCATCGGTGACACCGCGGCCACTTTCTTATTCAGAAAATCCTCCTCGTCATCTGCGACACCAATGACGGTGTCCACCGGAGCCACCACGAAACCTTCCGTCTTTTCTTGGGGCGACCAGCTCTCTTCAGTGACAGGCCCATCACTGGTGTTAGCTGGAGCTGGTTTTAGCCAGGATATGTCTGTGGTGTTACTTGTAACAGGTGTTACTGAGGACGTGTTGGTCTTACATCCATATCCGACGTTACTTTGCGTTTGGGTCAGCCAGGGAAGTTCTCTGGTGTCTGGGGGTCCAGTGCTAAGCCACTCGTTGCTGTCCATAATGGCCTCCATGATGTTGATCTCATTCTTGTCAAGGCTTGCTTCCACTGGTGCACTCACACTGGAGCCCACCGTGACCACTGACCGTTCCCTGCTCGCATCTGGGAGCTGCACCTGTCCTGTGGAATCACTTTGCAGGCTAGGTGTGGTGAAACCCAAGTAACTTTGCTGTGGATGGTCAAGAACAGGGTCACACCTGCTGTTTTGTACACTGTTCCCCAAACTGTTGCTGCTGCCAAAGTCTTGTTGACTTTGTACCTGGTCCCGCATGCTGTCCGGTTTGTCTGATACCAAATTACAGCTCGGTAGATCCGACTGTTTGTCATTACAGCAGCAGTCAAACTCAGTCACTTGAGGAAAAAGGTGGTCAACGTTGTTCTCAAAGCCTTTCTTAACTGCCTCCTCATCTTCTGTCTTTGTTGCGTTGTGATCGGCTTCCGTGGTACTGGATGATAAGTGTAACCCTGACTCAGCTACAGCAAGCTCAGTCTTGCTAGGCTTGCTCACAACATCTGGAGCCAAGAGGGTGTTGTCTAGCAGATCCTCCACAGACTGGCACTTGTGAACAGGAACATTTTTAGCTTCCAAAGTCTCCTGGGCGCTCTCCGTTTCAGACGGCTCGTCCACATCTCCATGCAATTCAGTTTCAAACTCCTCAACGTCGTGCACGCTTTCGACATGCTTGCTTCCCTCGTACTGATAATTGAACAAATCGGCCTCCACCTTAACGCTTTCAGTGGCGTCACCTTCCTGTTTGACGAGACCCTTGTAGCCCTCCGAATACTGAGTTCCATTAGTTTCTCTCGTGTCGAATATCAGGCCAGGTTGAAGATCCTCAGTGGGCTCATTCAGGTTCTCAATGGTGGTTTCTCTCAGGTCCTCCTCTGGAAGGCCCGTAGATATTTTTGTGTGGTTGGCAGAGGACAGGATCACTGCTTCGCTGGAATCAGTTTCACACTCCTCCGAGCCTCCTTCATCACTTACTTCTGGAAAAAAGGAAGCCGTCGCACCATGAGACCAGTTTGAAGAGATTTAACGTCAACGTGCAACAGCAGCACAGTAAATGAACCCTAGTCTCTGATCCGTGTGTGTGCGTCAGCTACTGAAACCACACACGTATTTGCATGCTCATGTGGCTATCATACATCACAAATAACCCAGTATTTGGTGTGATGCCCTAAACCATAAACAGAAGGATGTCTAGAGCAGCAATGCTGATCAACAGGCCCATTTATCAACCCATTTGTAAGGTAATCAGATGAAATCAACCTCTTATCTGCTCCAGTGCATGAAAGCAACACCGCTGACGACACCTAGATCAGCATTTCTCCACTCTGAGCCTGTAGTCCCCTGCATATTTTAGTGCATCCCTGCTCTAACACACCATTTTAACCTCATGAAGGACTTGGAAATTATACCTCTTTATAATGTTAACCCTGTTGCCCAAATCCTGCTCTTGTCGTTGCACATTTTAGTGCTTTCCCTACTCTGACGTACAATTTTAACCTCATATAAGGCTTAGGAAAGAGCTGATGAGACAAATCAAGGGTTTTGGGAGCAGGAAAAACGTCAGAAATGTGATGTGCAGTGGTTACTCCAAGGACCACTGTGGCTAACGCCTCGAGGAAGCTCATGGCACATGTTAGCAGAGGCTTTAGCTACAGCAGTGCTGCCTCGCTCCCCGCTTTGCGCCAAATTCAGCTCAATTTCAAGCGAATGGTTTCAACAATTGTCCGCTTTACCTGTTGACTCGGTTGACTCGAAGGCTCGGTGCTGCTTCTCTCCCGCCGCGTCCTTCGTGTCTTCCTCGAGGCGTCCTCTAACGGCCCGGTAAAGGAGAAACGCGGCGCCCGCGCACAGCGCGGCCACAAACACGCACAGCGCGAGCACTGCGGCTCCGGAGCCTCCCATCCAGCCGGAGGGCAGGCGGGGATCCGGGGCGAGGGAGTCGGGGGAAGCGGGCTTCTCCCCCAGCATGGCTGCGCTGCTAACAACGCTCAGCATGACCGGAGAAGGAGAGAGGAGAGCAGAGCCGAGACAGACAGCGCAGAGCCAGCTCTATATCTACCTCACTCTCTCTCTCTCTCTCTCTCTCTCTCGCTCGCTCGCTCTCTCGCACGCATGCACAGGCACGCACACACTCTCTCTCTGTTCTCACTCCGTGTCTCTCTCCCTCTCTTTATCTACCTCTCTTTCTCTCACTCTTTCTCTCTGTCTCTCACTCTTTATCTCTCTCCCTCTCCTTATCTGTCACTCACTCACTCACTCACTCACTCACTCATTTCTGTCGTCTCTGTCTCTCCTGTTTTCTTTCTCTCCTTTTTTATACCTCTTTATCATAGCTTTCTCATTTTTCTCATTTCTCTCCTTTATTTCTCTCTCTCTCTCTCTCTCTCTCTCACTCTGTATGTCTCTCTTTCTCCTTTCCCTCACTCACTCACTCACATACTCACTCACTCACTCACTCATTTCTGTCATCTGTCTCCTGTTTTCTCTTTCATTTTTTTACCTCTATCATAGCTTTCTTAGTCTTCTCATTTCTCTCTCCTTTATTTCTCTCTCTCTCTCTCTCTCTCTCTCTCTCTCTCCTCACTCTGTATGTCTCTCTTTCTCCTTTCTCTCTTTCACTCACTCACTCACTCACTCACTCATTTCTGTTATCTGTCTCTCCTGTTTTTTTCTTTCTCTCCTTTTTTACGTCTATCATAGCTTTATTTTTCTCAGTTCTGTCGTCTCTCAGTCTGTATGTCTTTTTCTCCTTTCACTCACTCACTCACTCACTCACTCAATCACTCGCTCACTCACAAGGATTACAAGGTTTGAGATTTTTAAACGCAAAATCAACTATTTGAGAGGTGAACATATGAGAGTCTCTCTCTCTCCTTTTTTATCTCCATTTTAGCTCTTATTTTTCTTTTTCATCTCTCTCCCTCTCTCTCTCTCTCTCTCTCTCTCTCTCTCTCTCTCTCTCTCTGTGACGCTCATGTTAATCTTTGATTTGAACCTTTGAGACTCACTGATTTCTGCTTGGCCTCATCAGATTTTGAGTCTTGCATGATGAAAATAAATGTGAAGTTATGCTATATTTTTATTTTTAAAGGTGATTTTGTCAGAATCAGCTCAGAGTTTAACCTCGACATCTTTTTGTTTCTGAAAAAGATTCCTTTTACAAAGTTCAGCAACTCGATTGCATTGTTTACAAATAGCGCCGTGTAAACAAACCAGTCCGAGCTTGAAAACATATTACATAAGCTTACTGAATATTGATTTCTGCTTCTAGAGGAAAGGCTGAACAAATTACACCTAAAAGAGCAATATAGTAAACAGAACAGTACGAGGAGAACGTTAGACCCGAGAGTGTTTTTGTAGAAGAACAGTCTTTTTTTAGGCCCAGACTGATTGGTTTATCAGTGTTTATTATTGATCCACTCACTCAAACAGACAAACTGCACTCAGATTAAAAGATCTGTAGCTTTTCATACTCAGGTTATTGCGCAATGTTGCCTTTACTGAAGATCTCCACGTTCATGATACACAGGGAGCCGCACGTTAGTCTTTCATATGTGCATCCCCTCCTCATACACCCTTAAAAAAGATCAAGGGTTCTTTATAGAAAATGGTTTTATATAGAACCATGAACACTTTAAGAACCCTTTGCATGATTAAATGGTTCTGTATAGCACCCGAAAAGCTTCTTCTATTGTTAAGATGTCAAGCTTGTAACAATAGAAGAGCCCTTTTGGGTGCTATATAGAACTCTTTTCAAAAAAGTTCTATGTAGAACCATCTACAGCACATTCTCCACCAATCTAAAAACTCTTTCATGATGCAAAGAACCATTTAATCATGCAAAGGGCTCTTTGTGTTCATGGTTCTATGTAGAACCATTTTCTTTACTAAAAAATCTTTTGCATGATTAAATGGTTCTTTGCATCATAAAAGGGTTTTTCAGATTGACAGAGAATGGTTCTGTCTAACACCAAAAAGGGTTCTGCTACTATGACAAGCTTAACATCGTAACAATAGAAGAACCCTTTTTGGTGCTATATAGAACCCGTTTCAAAAAGGTTCTATACAAAACAATCTACAGCACATTCTGTATTAATCTGAAGAACCCTTTCACAATGCAAAGAATGATCATCATCATGATGCAAAGGGTTCTTTGAGTGTTCATGGTTCTATATAGAACCATTTTCTTTACCAAAGAACACTTAAAGAACCGTCTTTTTTAAAGAGTGTAGTGCTGGGCAATATGGTGTCTACAGATTACATATTCAAGAGCTATTCGTCCATCTAATGTCCGTCTCTGCAGTGGACTGTCCCCATTCTTGGAGCTGCGTTGGGCCTCGGGTTCTCTGAGATCTGTAGAGGCTGGTAATCAGAGGCCCCACTGGCTTGATCTCTAATCTGTGATCAGAAACTGATAGGTGATAAAGTGGACGCTGAGTCTGTGCTATGAACACGACTGCCTATTTACTGCCATCTGCTGGTTTCCACTGTCAAATGCAATGTGGACACAGTGAATGAACTGATAACTGTTACATTCAGCTTCTCAAAGGCAGAGGTCATCAGTTCCGGTTCTATAGGGTCAGAGTTCAGTCAAGTCAAGTCAAGTCAAATTTATTTATATAGCGCCTTTTACAACAGATGTTGTCACAAAGCAGCTTTACAGAGAATCCGGGTCCACGCCCCCAGTGAGCAAGCCTTGGCGACAGTGGCAAGGAAAAACTCCCTGAACAGGAGGAAGAAACCTTGAGAGGAACCAGACTTAAAAGGGGAACCCATCCTATTCTGGTCGACACTACATAACAGCACAGACACAAAACAGTATAAGTGGATACAGTTTCACACCACTGTGCAGCGCGCCGGCCGCATCAGTCACGTCAGACCCTCTTAGGACAGGCAGCTGCTCAGCTCAGGGAAAGAGGGGGGGTAGGGGGGATAAGAGGGACATAGTTAGGAAACAAATTAACCAAAGGCTCGACTAAACAGGTAAGTTTTTAGCCTAGACTTAAAGATACAGGCTGTGTCTGAGTCCCGAACACAGACTGGTAGGCTGTTCCAAAGCTGGGGGGCTTTGTATGAAAAGGCTCCTCCCCCTGACGTAACTTTATTTATTCTGGGTATTAATAATGAGCAGCACCTTGTGATCTAAGTGGGCGTTTCGGTTGATAATAGGAAATAAGCTCACTGAGGTACTGAGGAGCAAGGCCATTCAGAGCTTTATACGTCAGCAGAGGAATTTTGTACTCAATGCGGAATTTAACTGGCAACCAATGTAAGGTACACAAAATTGGGCTAATGTGGTCAAATTTCCTGGTTATGGTGAGAACTCTGGCTGCAGCGTTCTGGACTAACTGAAGTGCATTGTGATTTCAATGCTCATCAGTTAATCACCAGGTTCAGTTGGTCTGTAGGGAAATTGCCACTCTGTGTTGGACTAAGGTCCAAAATTGATGACCCCAGTGTTTCTACAGTGTGCTGCCCCTTGTTGTGCATGATTGGATCAGTGGAGCATTCATCATCTGAGATCACATCTTTTGTGGAGCTCATTGTTTTGGGTGTGATTACTAGATAAAAGCGCCATGTTGGGTAAGACGCTCCAGGTATAAAGGCTAAAGTTCATGTGATTTGAACTGTAAGAAGACCCTCTTTTATGCTCTTTTTCTGACCTGCTCTGGCTCTCAACATGTCGTCCTACTACTCAGGAGACGAGGACGAGTGCTCCAAAGCTTCAAGCTGCTCAGAGGGAGACCAGAAACAGCGAACGAGAGAGGCCAGAATGGAAGGACAGATGAACAAGCGGCTGAGGAGCAGCTGTGGCTCCACAAGTAGCCACGACTTCACCCCTCACCCCTCATGCACCTCCAGGTGTGCCAAGGGGAGAAAGACTCCGGAGAGTCTTGGGCGAGAAGCTTGGTCTTCCACCGTGAACCCACCACAGTTGCGGGCCGAAGCGAGCAAACCCTTCCCCTGGAGGACGTGGAGCGACTTGGCCATCAAGAAGAGGTCGGATGACCTGGACAGAGCCAGGGAGGTGCACAAGAAGAAATTCCAAGCCACTTTGGACTCGCTCATCGAGGAGTTTGAGAATGGGGCCTTTACTGCCAGGATCCACTCCGTCCAGATCCAAGAGATTCGGCTGCACCAAGAGAAGACGGTCATTCCAGAGGACGTCGCCGCTGGTGATGCCGAAGACGAAACAGGTTTCCTGAATAACAGAACGTCTGCTGCGCTGCCAGCACCCCAGAAGGTGCAGGTGAGCTTCAGGGTGCATTACGTCACACAGTCCCCCAGCCAGATGCTGGCTGTGATAGGGAACCAGCAGGAGTTGGGCGCCTGGGAGAGCTTCGTTCTGCTCCAGGAAGTCAAGAACGGGTTCTGGGCCAACACCATCACCTTATCTGCAGGGAACAAGTTGGAGTGGAAGTTTATCCTGGTGGAAGATGGCAAGATTCAACGCTGGGAGGAGTGCAGAAATCGTCAGCTGCTGGTTCCAAGTAAAGGAGGAGAGATCCAGCTTCGCTGCAAGTGGGGCTGCCCCTGAACAGTGCTCCACAATCTGTGGATATACAGTTTCACAATGTGCCTTTATGTATTTTTTTTTTCTCTCTAGATATAAATTAAATTTTATGTTGACACCTTATCCAAGAGGAATTCCATCTACATATCACACTGTGCAAATAAAGATGCTGATTCTTGTTCACAATTTGGCTTAAATGATTCTGTCTCCAGAAATAAAACTATTTAGATATAAATTTCTTGTACATTAGATTTATTTCAGAAAAAAACACAGCAATGGTAAAGACAGATCAGTACAACCCATATGGAAATCAGATATGTGGCCATATATGCACGTATATCATAAAGGGTCAGGCATATCTTTCACAATATATGCGCATGTACAAGCATAAATAAGTATGAAATTTGGACATATATGCATAATATATGGATTGCATATATACTGTCTATCCGATATATGTCTGGTACAAATACTGAAAGACTTTTTTTCGAGCAAGAAAGAAAAATGAAATACAGTAGCAAAAGTAAAATATGCAATCCATATGAGCATAATGTGTTCTATTGCATTTGCTTAAATATGTGTTACATACAGATGACTGAAACAGAAGTTCCATATTTAAAAATGACCAATTTTACATAAGTTGGCGTGTATGTCACATATATGTCCATTTGTGACGAATAAAATCTATATATGATAACAAATGTCATATATTTGAAATTCATATATTACCATATATCAGACTTTCTGCCATAGACATGCTGCATTCTGAAGACTCACAACACAGTACTCCCGCCTCCATATGATTTTGTTTATGATTGGTCTGCGCTGTTGTCAGTCACACGTTCTGCGCTCTGATTGGCCCTTGGAGGCTAAAGCTGTACAGTGGTGTATTTACAGTATCATCAGGAAACGAAGTCGCGTTCATTTTAACGGTCATTTTTTCCGACAGATATAGTTAATTTTCTGGGTAAGTCCAAAGCGTTTTTATCGACTCAAACTCGTGTTATTTAAGCGGTGGTTAATTTTACCTTAAACGAGTCGAGGGTCGGGATTTAATCTCTTAAATCGACGAAGCTAGCTAGGCGGTCTGTTAGCATGTTGCTAACTAGTTGGCCTAATAGCCGAATGGCTATCGAAGGTAAAATCGTTCCGTTTGGCGATATAAAAGACCACCTCACGCTTGGAGCTCTGTTATGTTTAAAAACAGAGCTGAAATATTTAGCCAGCTGGTCAGTCTCTTCGGGAAATCAGTGGTTTGCTGGGTAACGTTAGCTCGTCTTATTCTCCAGCTTCGTGTTCGAATTTTCCCGTTCCACCTTAAATGGTGCAGCAGTTACATTCTGGCGCCCGAGGCATTAAAATTGCTGCTGGACTATTTAAGGTGGAACGGTAAAATTCAAATAGGAAGCCACCTTCAGCCTCGTGTGTTGAATTAACGTTAGCTTAGATGCTCACAGATTATCATGAAGTGAATAAGAGGCGAGTATGAACACACGGCTCGCTCAAGTTCTTCAACGTTTCATGAATAAATGCAGTTTATGCGCTATTATGGACGATAAGAACGTGTCAGGTTCCCTCGACCTAGTTGGCCCAAGCAAGGACCAATTGGATTTGTCCATAGATGCTGGTGTTCAGCACAGTGTGGTGTAATGTTGAGTGAGATAACACAACTTTCATAGCCTATAAGAGAACTATTTCATGTGAAACTGTGTGAGACATAGAGAAAGAGCTGATACTGCACTGCTTAGATGTTTTGGGATGAGTCCCAAACGGCTCCCTGCTGGAAATCTAGTGCACTACTCCCTTAGGCTTTAGGGCTTGGGAAATGTGCTGTCATAACGCAGAGCTTTATGGGTAATCCGCCATTGTGGCAGGGTTCGTCAGGCTAGGCTGGTTTAGAATAGCTCAAAAACTCTAACTGTTTTACTATTTCTTCTAGCTTCTTGATTTCGGCTGATCTGTAGCTTATGGTCACTACGTGCTTTTTCACACTTGTCCTGAATATGTGAGGGGCTCATTTACACCGTTTACATCTGAACCGTGAATCAGTTGCGCAGTTCCATACGTCACTTTTCTGTGTGCAGGTTTGCACAACTACCCGCACCATCTCTAGTGTGAAACCGCCCTAAAATACTTTTACAGAGATAACTAGCATGTGGATCTACATGACTACCAGATCACGGATCAGAGCAAAGTCAAAGAAAACAGATAGAAAAGGAAGGTTTAATCAGCTATTCAGATGCAGCTCTGGATAATCAGCACATATGAAGCATCATAGAGAGAATATGCAGATAAACATCAAGCTTAAGCTTGTTTTACAGATCTGATTGTATAGATTTAATGGAATAAAATGGTCATTAGTGGATTCATCATGTTTGGAGCAAATGCCTCATGGCCGCCAGGATGTAACTGCTGAACCATTTAAGGTATAGCGGAAAATTGGAATAGGAAGCTGTTTACCTTTCAAAACGTGCGGTTTTCCAGCTGAAATGTAGCCACGACGTCCGAAGTGAAGTAAGTTAAGCTGTTGCCAGTAATGTTAACTGAGTTGTCAGATGAGTAGCGTTTACTACATTAGATTGGCTGCCCCTTCAGTGAAATAGTAAAGTTGTGTGATTCAGTATGGATTTTTTGTGGGGCTTAATGTTGTAGAGTACAGCAATAAGTGTCATTAGTTTGCTTACTAGCATTTGCTGCAAGCATCTGCAGTCTAAATGTTGTCAAGAAAGAAGCCTGTCCATATAGACGAACAATCTCATAATGCAACACAATGTGATGTACATTTTCAAGCCTTACAGCATTTCTTTTTCATGAAGGGAATTTCCACAAGCTTTCCAAAATTTCCACAGTTAAGATGTAAACAAAGTAAGTCAGAATGATTTTATGCGAAATGCCCACAATTGCTCACAGTGGTGGTGACAGGAACCAGACATATGAAGTGTTTAATGCCTCTAAAAGTTATTACAAGAAATTATTATGAATGCCTGAAACATTGTTTAATGCAAGATTTGAGATAAAACATATTTTTAAAGATAAATTTGAGGTGGAGAGGTCCATGTAGGACATTGTAAGGCAAAATAGCATCTAAAAAGAAAACTTATTTTGTTTAGATTTACCGTCATCAACATTACAAATAAAAAACCCAGTGTGGCTTCACTGGTGGTTTTGGATGCATTTAAATAAAATGACCGTATTTGCATTGTAGACATTGCAGCGCCTGGCTTCTATCCTCAGCATTATAAAGAAATCTGGCTTTTATTTGTACAATAACATTTCAAAACCACTATGAGTGCCTTTTTTACGTCTCAGTGATTTAATTATGTAGAGAATTTTTTAAACAGTGGTGGATTTCCCCTTTAATCCTGTGTAAGTTGAGCTTGCTTGCTGAGACAGGCCCCTGGTTTAGAGGGTTATAGTGTTAACCAGGGTTTCATAAAGGCATGGTGACGACTGTAGTGGGGTGGTTATTTGTTGTTGTGCTACAAAGAGTGACAGGCATTAGAATACACTGGTGTTAGCCTCCCAGTGGTGATGCATTTTGCTGCCAGGCAACAGTGTGTTGTTTATGGCTGCTGTGCCTTTTTTTGTCAGACATGATGGACATTCGGCTACAACAAAGCCTTTTCTTTTGTCACGCTGTGTTTCATCAGTGTATAATTTATCACCTTCTCTTTATCTGTTTTTTCTCTCTGTCTGTATCTATCTTTCTCTCTTCATCTTTCCTCTCTATCACTCTCACTCTTTATCCTTCTTTGCCTTTCCTCTTCTCTCGCAGCGTTTCGTCATGACGACTCTGGACGATAAGATCTTGGGCGAGAAGCTGCAGTACTACTACAGCAGCAGCGAGGATGAGGAGAGTGACCACGATGAAGACGAGGGTCAGTCCAAAACCATTCGGGACCAGGAGGTGCTGGAGGCGGAGATAGATTACAGTCCCGATGGCACTGCCGTTAACACGGGTGCGTTGCCACCACAGTCTTCACTTCACGCAGAGAAGCTTTCTCTGATCTTACATGTACACTCTCAGAAATAAAGGTGCTAAACTGTCACTGGGGTGGGACCCTTGAGGGTACATCTTAGTACCCCATAATCAGGGAACATAACTGAACCATAATTCACTGAATGATATGTTCTAAGCTGTACTGACTCCACACACCCCGTCTCGTCTCCAGGCTTTTATTTTATTGTTCTGTTTTAAAACATTTGGTTATGAAAAAAGGTATAAATACGTACTTTCAACTTACTTAAGGTTCACAATCAGACCTTAAAACCACTGTTGTACCTTTGAGGGAACATTAACATTGTTTGTACCTTGATGAACGGAAAACGTACCTGCACAGAACCTTTATTTCCAACAGTATATGCAGATGATTTCACCCAAAAAACAGATTTCACATATAATTCTTTTTAAATGAACCAAACTCATTTCTGTTAAACTGAACCTGAAAAAGGGAACCAGCTGCAAATGACCTCTGTGCTTTTTGTGTTCAGTGTAAGCAAATTTTAATAGGTCCTCTTTCTGGTCCTCTGAGATCTCAAACCGCTAGTTTAGTTTGATTCATAGTTGTGATTCAAGCCACGTTTCAGTTACCATTGCTCATGAAATAATTTGTTATTGGTTTATAAAAGCACTGTGTTGCAGTGTGTTACAGTATTTCAGTTTGGGGAGGGGGGTTAACGCTACGTTGCCTTCGTGCCTATCATCACCCTGGTACCATGGTAAAAACACATGGCCTCTTGTGTCTTATTGCATTAATGTGGCAGCGCTGCTCTCTTACTGTAATATCACAGGCAGCCATTCTCCTGAGTAGTAAGCTAGTAGCTACATTTTCTCAAACGGAGAACATTTTACGCTTTTACAAGTTTCCTGGCCACACACACTGGAGAATAAGCTTAAGAGTGTCAGATTTTGGTTGCAAAACACACTCAAACCCCAGATCTCACCATTACCACGTGACCCAAACAAACAGAGCTGGACTGGACTTGCTTGTGCTCTTACACACAAACTGTGGATGAAAAACACAAACTGTGGATGAATATGTGGTTTACGAAATGCCAAAATCATTCTGTTCTACTGCAAGAACTGTGTAATAATTGTCTTGAAGTTTGGCTCCGTTCATTAAAAACATTAAAAACAAGGCACTAACGCATTTGCCAAAGTTCAACAAGCAGCTCCTGCATTGACGCATGTACACGGTCTCTTTGCCTTTTTTTCTTCCTCCTAACTCTCTCATTGGATCTCGCCTGAATCATTCTTTCAGTTACATTGCTGGGCGTCTCGCAGCACAGGACTCTTGAAAGGCTAAAGATTGACTTGTTTCCCTTTGACCAATTAAGCCAGGCCTACACTACACGATTTTTTGGCCGATTTACCCCTTGCGATTTTCCAGGTTGGGAGCTCGATCGGAAGGGACTGACCGCGCGGAAGACCTGTTAGTGTGAGAGGAGAAACGAGTGAATCTTTAGTCCTCCAATCGAACTCTGGAATGATCTGAGATTCTGAAATATTATCAGACATGTTTGATATTTACAACTGCAAATGTTCATGAGTCCTGTAGTGTGAGAAGTTCAGAGATTTACTCAATCAGTGATTCATACAGCCAATCAGAGAGCTAGAAGAGCGAAAAAATGGGCGAAGAGATGTGCATACACACTGCTTTAGCAGCAGAGCGGAGAAAGGGGAGCTGTGAGTAAAACACAGGCATATAAGAGCCGATATCATGTTTATAATGTTGGATCCAGACGTCAAAACACACTCTTTACGTTTCAGCTCAGCTGCCGGTTTGTAATGAAATATTTCTCCAGCTCTCACTGTAATATCAGCGTTTCTCACCACATATTAATCCCCAGTTTACGCTTTCACTGCGCATAAAAGCACAAACAGGTCCAGTAAGTTCAGCTCTGTTTGTGTCATGTGATCTGAGGAGATCTGGGAGTTTGAGTTCTTATTCGTAGCCCAGACTGGTTGTGTGTTATTCTCTCACTTTGCTTTGTCGTCTAGTGTGAGCGACTTCATGATGAAAAGACAAGAATATCTGTGACAAACTGACATTAAGTTTGTGATGTTATCAGTTTTAGAAATCTGTTAAGATTTTAAAAGTTGTGTAGTGAACGTCCAGCCTTACAGATTAGCACCGTCAGATTAGCACCGTCAGATTAGCACCCTCAGATTAGCACCCTCAGTTGCATCTGGAAATCAACCTGGAAATTTGCATCCAGTTGCTAAAATATTTATAGGTTAAAATTGGAATAAAAGTAATTTAGTTTGCACCCATCTTAACTTCTAGTTAGGTATGCTAAACCAACCTAGAAACTGCTTCAGAGCATTACATCGTGCATATATTAAAAAACAAGCATATGTGTTCTCTGTGTATTTGTGCACATGTTTATGCTGTTGTTGGTTCTTGCAGGTCCAAAAGGTGTGATTAATGACTGGCGGAAGTACAAGCAGCTGGAGACAGAGCAGCGGGTGGAGCAGCAGAAAGAGATGGAGCGGCTGATCAAGAAGCTCAGCATGACCTGTAAATCAAACCTGGACGAGGAGCTGGACAAACAAAAACAGAAAGAGCTGCAGGACAAGATCAATGGCAAGGTGAGATCTCATCTTACGCTGTACAGTGCAGCAGCTCTCAAACTTTTTTCTTTGTGGATCGTGAGTGCGCCTCCGCCCTCGCCCGCCTCCTTCGCAGTCCCCAGTTTCCCCAGCAGTATCATATAGAAAAACATGAAGTGGTTAGAAAGCAGAAGGCTACACCTAAAGAAATGTAAAAGTGTGTAGAGTATAATCAACCAGCCATAAAGCAATAAATCAGTGCAGGTCATAAACACTAACTAGTATCCATACCCCAAAAAGCAGTTTGCTAATAGTGCATAACAACTAAAAGGGGGGTCAGTTAGCACAATGCTAGCTGATCCCAGCTGGACATCCTCCTCCTCCACATCTAACATTTTTCCCTTTTCTTTGTGATTCTTCCTTCTTCTTATCTTTCTTTCTTCTTCCCCCAACTTGCTTTCTCTGCGTCCCTTTCGTGTTCCTCCCATCCTGCTTCAGGTGAACCTCCGAGTTGATGAGGACGAGGATGATGACGACGATGACGAAGCCTTCCTTCAGCAGTACCGGATGCAGCGCATGGAGGAGATGAGACGGCAGCTGAGTGGCAAACGGCGCTTCGAGCGTGTGATTAATATTTCCTCAGGAGAAGAGTTTCTGCGCGCCATCGACGAAGAGGGCAAAGGAACGCTGGTGCTTGTTCACATATTCGAGCCGGACGTGCCTGCCTGCCAGGCCATGGAGGGCAGCCTGCTCTGCCTGGCTCTGCAGTATCCACAGGTGAACGCCCTCTTCTAGAACCTTCCGGAATACCTGATGAAAAAAACGTCAGTGCGGCTAATGCTGACTAAAAAGCCAGAGGAGGTCAGGAAAGGTCATAGTCTGGATGTTCATGTTAGCACTACTCCACAGTACACAGTCAGTTACAGTGATAACGTGCTGCACGAGCGCATCTATGGGCGATTTCGCAAAAAATGTTCTATTAGGATATTTTAAGACATTTTTATGATAACATGCATCACAATACTTCGTTTTTTCTGAGGTTTAGTAGGTTGAAAAACACAGAATAGAATGCGTCGTGCCACATACGTACTGTAATAATCGTAACAAACATAAAAAAGTGCAATTATTTCATTCAGTGCTTAACAAATTGTGCTGCACCAAATCCAATAGAGCAGGCCTAATAATGCTCATATTGTAATTAGAGATGAAATGGTTACCGGTTTCACGGTAAACCGCGGTAAAATTAATGATGGTTAGTAGTACCGTTTGAACTTTAAAGTATCGTTAAAACCACCGTCGATTACCGCGGAGTGAAAAACTCTGAGATTCGGAGATATTTCAGCCTTCTAAGAAGACCAAGTCTGACGTTTGGTCATGTTTTGGGTTTTATAAGAATGCAGAAGGAAAGTTAATTGAAGATGACCACCCTGTCTGCAGAACAGGCCGAAATAAAATAGCGGCGAAAGGGGGCAACACATCAAACCCTACGAGTCATCTTTGTGACCACCACCTGCTACTTGCAAGAATGCAAGGTTAACTTTAACGGAGAAGTCCATGGAGACTTCGAAATAGAAGAAATGTCACTGTCTGTGTGGTTTAACTTGTGCTTATGGTTCGTTAATAATATAAAATGAAGCTTTTAGCGTCAAAAAAAAACAAAAAAACAGTCGGTGAATCAGCTGTGAATCGAAACTAAAGCTTTTAACATATTTCTGTGGAGCAGAGTCTCCAAAATGAGCTCTGAGTTAACAGTCACACAAGCTGCGGAACGAGACGCTGCAGAGGTTCAATCTGCACAGCTCCCCTTTTTCGCCTCACTTGCAGTGTTTACTGTCTGAGAATAACACCGTCTCAAATCACTCAATGTCCCCTACGTAGTGCGCTACTGTTCAAACAAACACGGTCATCATTAACCAGCAGCTGAGCTTTAAATAGGGAATTTGTAGCCTGTTGTTAATGTTGATTATAGATGACTTAGTCGAACGTTTCTTGCACTCTTTGGGTGAAGGATTTGCTATTTCATGATCCACGAAGTGCACTACATAGGGAAGATAGTGTGCTTTGAGACGGGACCTTAGGCGAGTAAACGCTGCGTGCCGCTTTTAGGAAAAGCAGAGTTTCAGAGATTAAACTTTAGGAGTGTTTCTGCCGCAGCTCAGATGCGCGTTAATTTTAAGTTATGTTTTAGTTTTAAATGCTTTTAGAGAAGCAGCTCCACAGGTGAAGACACACTGTGAGTTCTACACTGTCTGCAGCTCACAGCGCGGTCACGCAGTTCCTCTGTGATTTTGGCTGTTTTTCCTGGTGCACTGGATTGATTAGGGGTACAGCGCCACAACGGCACAATAATGCTGCAAATGCAGTTAGGACAGAAATCCCCCGAGTGCAGCACGTCTTTGAAGTAGTCATTTTTCATTAAGACCCACCTCAGAGTTGGTCGACATTTAATTCTCTATGCAGGGAAATCCCTAGTTATTGTAATTAATAATAATAATAATAACAGTAATAATACATTTGCTATTCTTTTGTTTACAGAGTATTATAGATATTGTAAGTAATACAAAAGTAATACTAAAAATGTACTGACCTTATTTTTTAATGTTTATGCAAACAAAAAGTGCATATTGCTGCCAATTCTATTTGTGTTAATATAAAAGTTGGTGAAACGAGTTTCAGTTTGTGTATCAGTTTTTATTTTTTTATTTATTTTACTTTTCAACACATTTGAACAATATCGCGATAATACCGATAATCGTGATAATTTTGGTCATGATAATCGTGATATGAAATTTTAATATCATTTCATCTCTAATTGTAACGAAACATGTAGTTAGTCATTGTTTAAGTCTTGACGCTCAGAAAAGTGTATTGTGACATAATTTATCACAATAGCATGATAAATAACATGATAATATATTGTCACTTCTGTGCCAGGCTGTACACAGATTACTTCACAATTACAACTGAAAGAATGTGAAACTACACAGATTCATACTGGATTAAAGATCGCTCCACTTATTACTGTCAGACTGTATAAATTACTCACACTGCAGATTCATACGGGATTAATCTCCTAAAATTTCATATCACTTAAATATGTAAATGGGTAGTACTTTCCCATGTAAAACCAGTCAAGATCTCTGTCGTAACTGGTATCTGTAGTAGCTCAGTTCTTTCTCTGTGTATGTGTTGTGTGCAGGTGAAGTTCTGTCAGGCGCGAGGGTCAGTACTGGGCACCAGCACTCTGTTCCGCAGCTCCGCGCTGCCGGCCCTGCTGCTGTACCGCGGGGGCGAGCTGGTGGGGAACCTGGTGCGCGTCTCTGATCAGCTGGGAGACGATTTCTATGCCACCGATGTGGAGGCGCTGCTGCAGGAGTACGGGCTGCTGCCGGAGAAACACCCACACGCAAACACACACTCGTCCATCCGCAACGCGGCCGTCACACACACCGCCGACTCAGACAGCGACCTGGATATAGACTAGACACGCACAGCGATACACCCACACACACGCCAGCACACTTAACAACATGCGTACACACGCCAGAGATGGGGACTTGAATCTCATGTTGATGGACTCATACTGACTTGTGACTCGACCTATGATTGAAATCTAACTCTACACAAAAAATACGTCAGTCTGATAGACAGAACAAACACTCTACATCCAGTAAGTGGTGTTTAAAAGAAAGAGGCAAATCAGCTTAACTATATGCTAGCCAACAATTTGGATAGCTAGTAGACTAGCAAGCGTACCAGATATTGAAGTTAAAGTTGTCAACTTATCTAGCTGAAATTTTAGTGATTAGTAATTCACATTTCTATAAAATGTACTTATGTTTCAGCTTGGATAGTGATTTTTCTAGCTAGCTACAGCAAACCACAGATTAACCAACTATTTCAAGCTGTTTTTTCAAATTGTTTTGTCTCTTTCTTTAAAACACGTCATTTACTGCATGTAAGTTAGCGCTTCAGCTTTGTCCTTCAGACTGAAGGTTGTTGTATAGTGAAATTCTCATTATTTAAAGCCCTGTCGCACCTGACTGCTTTTTAGTAGGGTTTACTGATAATAATGAGACTTGAGACTCGACTCGGACTCGAACATGAAACGACCGGCGACATCTCTGATACACACGCACAAGAACTCATAGCCAATCAGTGACCAAACCACGACAAACACACACAAACACGGTCCACTTTAATCAACTTCTTTCCAACATGCTACTGTAATTCAGAGAACTTTGAGGCACACTTGAAGTTCCAGGGAACTCAGTGTAAAATATTAAAAATGTTTGAACGATATTAAGATTTACTGTTACGTTAAACATCCAGCGAGGTTTGGATGGGGAAAAAACAAGACAAATACGTCAGACCTGAGAACTGTGTGGTCGTACTGTTCTATGTTCTGTGCTGTATCCATGGCTCGCTAAAAACATTATCCGGCTTTTACGTGGCGACGGCAAGATTATTGTTTACTTCACTGCTGGATGTGTAACCTGGGAATGCTGCTTGAACAAACAAGCAGGCAACAAGCAAACAGATGAGCTATGCTCAGTTATGCTTGCAAGGTTAGCTTTCGCTTGGTTGTTAGCTTTTGCTCTTTAGGTTTCCCTGACTCGAATTAGAGAAACCGTAGGGGAACGTCTAGGGGTTTTGTGGGCGGGACAAACCACATCAGCCTTGTCATTGCAAAGTTATTCACAGGACATACTTTGTACTTGTATTAGGTGCCCACAAGAGCAAGATTGACCTGCACACTTAAAAATGATGGTTCTTCAAGGGTTTTGTATAGATGAAAGTGGTTTTATATAGAACCATTTGCATGATTAAAGGTTTCTTTGCATGGTTAAATGTTCTTCAGATTGAAGGAGAATGTGCTGTGAACGGTTCTATATAGAAACTTTTTGACAAGGGTTCTATATAGCACCAAAAATGGTTCTTGTATTGTAACAAGCTTGACATCATAACAGAAGAACCCTTTTCTAAAGGGGGTTCTGTATGGAACCATCTATGGCAGATTCTCCATCAATCTGAAGAACGCTTTCACGATGCAAAGGACCCTTTATTCGTGCAAAGTGTTCTTTTGGGTGTTCGTGGTTCTATATAGAACCGTTTTCTTAAAGAACCATCATTTTTAAGCATGTACTCAAAAAAAACATGAATTTGGGATTTCGGTTCCCCACTTCTTTGCATTACTGGACCAAATGATTGGACAAGTGTGTGTGTGTCACCTTGTAATCATATCAGAAAACTATGTAACTTTAGTATGAATTATTATTATGATTATGAATTCTTTAGTTTCTGCTTTATGCAATCCAGGAGGCAGAACAACCTAGAACCATCCATTGATATAACTATTTATTCTAGTTTTAGTTCAGCATGAAATATTGCTTTTTTGTTTGTTTGTTTGTTGTTTTTGTTTTTTTTTTGTTTGTAATGTGTTGTTTTCTTGTAGATATGAGTTTGGCTCCCAAAGCTTCTGTTAGTTTTATATGTTTTATAAATGTGGCCATTAATTCCCCAACAAATAAAGCGTCCCAGTCTGATGTTCCTCACAGTTCTGGAGTTATTTATTTATTTACTTATTTATGTATTTATTTATCTTTCTATCATAAGATACAGTGAGCCTGTAAAACAATACCAATAGAATTCCTGACTAATCTGATAGCAATTTGTTAACACAAATTCATTGTTTCTATCCACAACCTCAACAAAAATAAAGCACAGGAGATTCTAGTAAGATAATAACCTTTTTTTATTACTATAACTACTGTTCTCCATTGATGTGCCCGACTGCCTTATTACCTGTTCCAGATTTGGATAGAAATGTACCTACACAGTAAGTGTGTTCATTCACTCAATTATCCAATCATTATCAGATTTCTGCAGTTATCTGATTATTCAAACAGTCATGTAAACAGCACACTCTGATTTCAAACTCAAAGGTCTAGAAATCTGATTAAGAAATCTGATACAGAGGCTGGATTTTAGCTCAGTAGTCAGATTTCTGAGTGCATGTAAACTCTTACTCTGATTTCTTTCGGATTTCTCAGTCTGTGCATGAGTGAAAACAGACAGCGGTACCGGCAATAAGCAAGCAGCATCGCCGCGAGACGCAGCAAAAGACTTCTGGAGCGACGCTGAAACCAAATACATGCTTGACGAAATCAAGGATTTAAATATTCTTCATCTTCTAGATGATGTATGTTCATATTTTCAGGTAAAGAGGGTTTTCAGGTTTTATGTTTACGTCACGTCTTCTGTGAGTTTATTGGCTGGTTGTAAAGCAGAAATCTGATTACTGTCTGACTCATGCAGACCCGGAGTTTCCCCATTATCTGATTACTCAAGTGCATGTAAACGAGCTGATCAGATTACTGACAAAATCTGATTTTCTGCAGTTATCAGATTATTAAGTGCATGTAAACACACATTGATTCAGGATCAGCTTAACTGAGCTCAGTCCAGTGTAGAGCTGTTTGGAGAACACTCCAAACTTCATCCTCCTTGTGAATGTTTTCAGCCACTGTACTAGATAATAAGAATCTGAATCAATTTCATTTCGCCAAGTATGTTACGAGGAATTTGTCTTGGTGAGTGCACACGTATGACGTGCAGCATATTAAACAGATCAGACTGTTAGCAAAAAAAGACATAATAAACACGGAGAAAATGAAATGAAATGGACATTCTGGCCTAAAAATAACATTTAATATGTTTGTTTTTTCGTCCTTGTATGTAATATTCTATGATGCAGCATTGCACTCCTCACCTCATAGGTTTGACAGACTTCATTGTTTTGTATTGTTTTTGTGTTTTCATCTATCAGGGTTCTCAGACTACAATACCCAGCATGCATCACACAAATACTCCCCTGGTAATAAGGAAATCCTGATGAGTGTAGCCACTGATATACACGCTTCAAGAGTTCTCTGGTAAAAAGAATGGTTCTGTATAGAACCATGAACACTCAAAACAACCCTTTGCATGATTAAAACGTTCTTCAGATTGATGGATAATGTGCTGTCTTTCTATATAGCACCTAAAAGCGTTCTGCTGTTGTTACAATGTAACCATAGAAGAACACTTTTAGGTGCTATATAAAAAACATTATCAAAAAGGTTCCATCTGTAGTGCATTCTCCACCTTGCAAAGAACCCTTTAATCATGCAAAGGGTTCTTTGAGTGTTCATGGTTCTATGTAGAACCATTTTCTTTACTACAGAACCCTTAAAGAGCCGTCTTTTTTAAGTGTGTAGAGGTTAATAAATAGATAGCCTCCTAATGTTAGCTATGTGGAGTCCTTCTGTATCAGCCAGCTAGTGCCAAAAAAAGAAAAATAGCCCATCCTCATATATATACACCAAAGCTCTTTTTTTAAAAGTTCCTCCCAACTGCAACATACATAATATGGTCAAAAGTATGTGGACACCTGACCATCACACCCATATATAATGATATTATAGTCCCCCTTTGCAGCTATAACTCTTCTGGGAAGGTGTGTCTGTGGGAATTTTTGTCCATTCGTCCAGAAGAGCATTTGTCACAATCGACATTCCAGTTCATCTGGAAAGTGTTTGTCATGCTGGAACAGGAAAGGGTCTTCAACAAACTGTTCACAAAGTTGGAAGCATATAATTATCTATTTGTATGCTGTAGTATTAATATTACCTTTCATTGGACCTAAGGGGCCGAAACCCTGAAAAACAGCCGCAGCTGTTTATCCCTTCTCTGCCAAACTTTACTGTTGGCACTGTGCATTCTGTTAGGTATCGTTCTCCTGGCATCCACCAAACCCAGATTCATCCATCAGACTGACAGATAGTGAAACGTGATTCATCACTCCAGAGAACGTTTCCACTACTCCAGAGTCCAGTAGCTGAGTGGACTCTGGAGCACTGGCAGAGTCTGGAGTCCAGTGGCGACGCTTGGCATTGCACATTGTCATCTTAGGCTTGTGTGCAGCTGCTTGGCTGTGCAAACCGATTTCATGAAGCTCCTCCACAGTTCATGTGCTGATGTTGCTTCCAGAGGCAGTTTGGAACTCTTTATTATGCGACAGAGGACAGACAATTTTTACACGCTACGCGCTTCAGTATTTGGCAGCCGTGCTCTGTAGGTTTGCGCGGCCAATCTCTTCATAGCTGGGCTGTTGTTGATCCTAGACACCTCCATTTCACAGTAATAGCACTTAGGCCCAATCCCATTTCACCCCTCGCCCCTACCACTTAGCCCTTAGCCCTCTGTTTTGCGTCTAGGGGTAGGGTGTCCCGATTGTTGTTGAGATGGGGGGGGTGAAGTGTTGGAGCTACATGACCCTCCAAACAAAGGTTTTTCAGAGACTCCAAACAGAGAGTTATGAGAAAAAAAGAAAAACTGGCAAGAGACCAAAGAAACCCACAAATGTGAGAATTTTCAGTTACAAAAATTACGAGAAAAGGGCGCGCGTGAGCGCTTGCGGGTAGAAATAAAGAGAGAGAGAGAGACAGAGAGAGAGAAACAGAGAGAAATGAGAAAGAGAGAGAGAGAGAGAGAGAGAGGGAGAGAGAGAGAGAGAGAGAGAGCGAGAGCGTGAGAGAGAGAGAGCGAGAGCGTGAGAGAGAGAGAGAGAGAGTACGTGTGAGTGCCTGAAATCTCTGTAAAAACGGCAAATCTGCTCCACTTTAATACAATAATCATATGAACTTACAATGTCAACTGACTGCTTTAATATTTCAGGACTTTAAGAATGGCTTTACTGAAGAATCGTTGCCGTTTTTTCCTTATTATTTTATTTTATTTATTTATTTTTTACTTTCTGTTACACTGTTTGTTGTTATGGTTTAGAGTATAATATCCAGTCAACAGTACTGATTCGCTGGATGTTGTGTTGATGTGTAAATCTTTATGTTAAATAAAAAAAGTAGCTGCACGTTTAACAGGTTAATTTAAAGATTCTGGGTGAAGATCTGCCAGAATACACAGCTCTACAGCGAACTGAGCCCCAGATCTTTACATGCTCAGCCAGCGTATCACTACAGAGTGGAAGATAAAGTGTTTATCTGCTTGTAAATGTCCACCAGGTGCATGATGGGGAATAATCTCTAAAGTCTAGCTGCAGTCTTGTAAACAGTGACACTGCAGGATTTCCTGTCTTTTCAAAATCATAGTCTTGAGCCTGAAAGCCGCGACGCTGTCTTTAGATGTGAGAGGGAGTCAGACTTTAGTCTTTCAAAGTCTTCCAGTGTACTGTTAGCGTTACATGTTCACCCGCACCCAGAATCAGCGCCACCGCAACAGCCGGTCACTGAATCTGCGCTGGAATCGAACGTGACGCAACTCCGTGCGGAGCGCTGACGTCGCGAGCGGTGACGTCTCATGTACACGTCGCTTTAGCGAAGATGGCGGAGGAGCGTCAGGCTGAGCGTCCCGCACGGCTGTAGGACTCTAAACGCCGCTTTAATCTCACACCAAGTCTCGGCTTCTCCACGACAACCCAGAGGTGACGCCTTGTCTTCCCGCTTCAGCCGTATTTTCGGCTCCCGGTCCTGTACCGGTGCCCTATCTGAGCTGGCGCGGTAGCGAGCTAACTCGGGACGGCGCAAACCCCATTGGCTTTGGTAGCGTATTAGCCAGCATGCTAACTAGCTGACTGTCGACGGCGTATAAACCCAGCATATTAGCGGTTAGCAGTTAGCCGTTAGCTCGTTAGCTGTTTACGTTGCAAAACCCGTTGAGTTCGCTAAGCTAACGTCTGCTGGCTAGCAGGACCCGTCTCTGTGGCTACCGTTAGCGAGTCGCCCTGTCAGCACTGCCGCTGTATCCGTCATAGTGGGCTACAATGTCCATCTTAACACATTTACCGGCTTTTGTGACAATAACACGGCCCTTTTTAACCCACACAGAGCTTCAATAACGTTGCCGAGTTGAGGAAGAACTCTGCTGCTGAAGTTAGCTGGATAACGTTAACCTTAATCCAGTCTTGGATTCGCTCGTTGACCGTTTCCCCTTTTTATCTCAGTCAGCTAACTAGGTTAGTTAACTTCAACTGGTTTCTCAAAATATCTGTCTGATTCCGTGGTTGAGACGTAAACAGAGTCATCCAGAGCGGTTTGGTGTGAAATGCTCAGTTCTAGAGAAACTTCGAGACTCTGATTTCTTTACAGTGGTGGTGATAGGAACCAGAGGTCACCATGTCTACAACACAAATATAGCCGTTTTATTTACTGTCCAAAACCACCAGTGAACCCACACGAGTCTTCTGAGTTTGTGTATGGGTTGTTGATGGTGGTAAAATAGTGATAAATCTGAAAAAAAAAAATGTTTTCTTTGTGGACTGCTTTGCTATTTTGTCTTAGACGGCCCTTCTTGCATCCTTCCAAAATATACTGATCAAAGCATGTTTTAGGCCAAACCTGTGTCATAAAACTACTGTAAAACAGTGTCTCGTGTCATAACCATTTCATGTTATAACTTTCTGTGAGGGAGCTTTTAGAGGTGGACGTCTGGTTCCTATCACCACCACTGTGAACAATTCTGACTCTGTAAGTTTCTCTAGATCAGAGCGTTTCACACCAAACCACTCTGAACGACTCTGTTTACATCTCAACCATTTAATTATGCAGAAAATGTGAAAAGTTCACCTTTAAGCTGTCTCTCATTTCTACATGAACTAATTTTGACTGTTTTTCAGTGCATAACTCCTTTATAACATTTATTGGTACAATATAAGGCTTTTCGCAGTGCTGCTGTGGAATAGTATTGTAGTGTAACTTGTGGATTTCCAGGAAAGTAATGCTAATGCAACGCTAGCATTAACATTGTAATAACAGGGGCCATCAGTTGTTGCAGAGTTTAGTTATAATATAGTCACACTTATAATTTGGCTCCACAGCAAAACTGGCAGGTAATGGAGCGTTTGCTCGTTCTTCTTGGTGTAGCAGTGACCTGTGTTTTTGTTAAAATACCCTGTTAGCCAGACTGAAAGAAGGCAGATACCAGGAATGGACATAAACCCTCAACCTTTTTTGTGTACTGTGCTATTTCAACCCCATCACGTCACAGTTTGTCTCAAATGATGCCGAACTTAATGACAGCACATCACCGCCTTTCGTTTACAGGGATTGATCAAGTTCGCCTTCATTAATCTCAGTGATTCCCAGTCCTGTTCCTGGATTATTGTTTTTTCTTTCCCTGTCACTCCGGATTCAACACATTGCTTCACTGTTGAGCTGATTGTGAGATTAAAACTGTGCTAAGTCACTGAAATGTGCATTGAAGCCCACAGGACCAGAATAGGAGACACTGCTGTGTCTGAACACTAGGTGTGGTTGGAGGCCTTCTATCACTTGTGTTGCTGTTGTGAGATTAGTAAACCTGTCACTGGCCTTGGGAGCCGTAGCATTTGTTAAGATAAATAGTTGGTCACGCAAGCAGGAACCAGAGCTTGTGCTCCGTGTTATGGCAAACACTCCGTTTGGTGAAAAGTGGACAAGGTTTCAGAGTTCATCGTAACTTAATCTGGGTTTCTCCCTCAAGCAGCATATCCTGTTTCTCCTCATGTTCATATTCTGCTACCCCACCGTTCTCCTCCTCGTAGAGCTTATTAAGTGAACTGTGGTGTGAAAATATTAATAGGAGCAGTGTTTTCTGAACAAGTCTTTAATCTCCCTCGGAATTTCAACAACCCTGCCTTTCCTGTGTGCAGTGATGGTGGAAACAATCCCCTTGGTTTCAAGCCTCGGCTGCTTTGCCTCATAACACCCTGCACCACGAATGGAGGTGGACGTTTGGTTCCTATCACCACCACTGTGAACAATTCTGACTCATTTTCTCCAGACCGACTTTATTCACATTTTAATACATAAATAAAAAGGGGTAAAATTCCACTTTAATCAGTTTTGTCACCTATTCAAACAGAAAGTGTGATGGCGGAGCGCCATAGTGTGGAGTAAGATAGTATTTAATTTACTCAGCTGTGTTAGAGAAAACACGGTAGAATAGCAAAGATTTTAATGACATAAAAATGTACTGTTTCCAGTAGGCCTGTCATGATTATTACATAATCGCCTAATCGAAATTATTTGAGATGATCACAGATGATTGAATGTTTGTTTTTAGCATGAATGCTCGCAGAATGAATGCTTTTTTTTTCCTTTGCTTGTTTTTTCATGCTCAAGAAAAAGCTTTGGCTATGTTCACGTTGCAAGCCTCGTAGCTCAGATCTGATTTTTTTGCTCAGATCCGATCTCTCTGACACGATGGTTCACACTCGTTTAGATATCTGATTCAAATCTGTCATTAATGTGAACGAACCGACGTCCTGAAATTACCCTCATGCACACATCCTACTCAGTAACGTCACGTGAATGAATCACGTTCATCATCAGCACAAACTGACGAGCAGAACGAGCTTCACTGAGAAGATAATTAACTCTGATCAGCTCTCAGCTTCATTATTAGAGCGAGACGAAGGAGAAAAAGGTGAGATTTTCCACCGTTTACAGGCTTTAACTTCTGTTTGGCGCTGTTGCCATGGTAGCGCTGAATGATGGCGCACGCGCAGTGGGGAAAAAGCGTATGAATTCCGATCTGAGTGGCACATAAAGGCCGCATGGCCATGAATCGGATACGTGGCTCAGGTCGGATTTGAAAAGATCAGATTTGTGTCCACACAGCTCTGAAAACATCAGATCTGAGTCACATTAGGGCAGAAAATCGGATTCGTGCAACTTCAACCTGGTACTGTGAACGTAGCCTTTGATTGGCTCTACACATGATTCTGTTTAATTAGATGTTTGTTTGAGTAAACAGCGAGGAAGCTAATTTGGCCACTTTAGGCTTAAAAGACCCTTAAACTGTTAATTGCATTAATTGTTATTTATGTGACAATTAATCATCAACTAAAATTTCATGATTGTGACTGCACCAGTTGTCAGATCCTTTAAAAACATACCAAAGCCCACGGTTCCCCCTAACATCACTCTGGGTTTTGCCTTTTTTGTTCTAATGAATGCAGTTATGTAACAGTGAATCAGTAGTGACACTCTGAGGAGCCTGATAAACACCGGATTTTCATCCACTCGGATGAGGAGATTAGCTGAAGGTGTATCTTTTGTGTTTGGTCACTGTGTGTCCTGCTTCGAGGTGTGTGTGAGTTTTAGACGGGAGTGGTCTCAGTGGTGTGTTTGCAGAAACAGAGTGGCTGTATATGCTTGTATAGTGTGTACACGGTAGTAGTGGGTGAGATACCGGTTCGTCCCGTATACCGGTTAAACTTCCTCTAAAGTTGTTAGTTTTGTCATTAACTTTACACCAGTGAGCGTAGATAACGTTGTGAGTTGGGTGTCTGAAATCAGTTAGTCCAGTTTGTTTTTAAGGGACAGACGTCACAATGTCATGAGTTAAACCCTTACTAGGGTTGGGCGATATGCTGAAAACATTATATTGTGATACTTTGACATTTTCACGATACATGATATGCAGATTTTCTGAGCTTTAAGGTGAAACAGACAAAATAGAACCTGTTGCGCCACAAATAAAACATACTCTAAAAACAATAAAGCTGCAACTACAGTGATTTTTATTAAACATTTTCAAACTGCGCTGCACTAAATTCTATTAAATAGGCCTAATTATGCTCCCTCTCTAATTAAACATGTCCACGATATGCTCAGAAAAGCAAATTATGACAATTTATCACAATAACTACACTCTTCAAAAATTATGATTCTTCAAAGGTTCTTTAGTAATGACTTTGGTTCTGTGTAGAACCATGAACACTCAGAGAAGCCTTTGCATGATTAAAGGATTCTTTGCGTCGTGAAAGTGGTCTACAGTTTGATAGAGAGTGTGTTGTAGATGGTTCTATATAGGACCCTTTTTGAAAAGGGTTCCATATAGCACCAGAAAGCGTTCCACTATTGTTACAAGCCAAAGAATTCTTATTTGGTACTGTATAGAACCCCTTTTTCTGCCCTTTTGCTTAGGGAAGCACTGATACCGATACTGTTATCAGGTATCGGGCCGATACTGTGCTCATTTCACTCATAGTCATATTCATAGAAATTCTCTGATACCAACGTTCTGATTGTGTGACGTGAGCCGAATTATGCAAAAAAAAAAAGGAATGACAAAAATGGAGGTGCAGAGTTTTTGTGCAACATTTGATGATCTCTAAGCTCACAGTGGATCCGTTCCTGTTTTTTAAGGATCTGACAACTGGTGCAGTCACAATCATGAAATTTAAGTTGATGATTAATGCAGTATGTAAGTGTTGCACGTCTTCGGAATCTGCACTAGACGTAGGGATCGTTTACACGTTTCTGGCATGATGTAACTCACTTTTTACCGTGGCTGTTTCCTTTTTATCGTTTTCTACCAAACTGGTTCAGAGTCAAAGCTGAATACACATCTTGGACTTTAGACTAAAATCCTTTTGCTATGAGTGACCCTGTCCCAAAATTATCTTTACTTTATTAAAACAAAGGATTGAACATTCCG